TGTCAAGTTGATCTGGTGCTTGCTTGAGCCGTTGATTACTGCTGCTTTGCTAAGGTTCAACGTCTTACTACATGAGAAGTTTATTCCAATGCTTTCTCAATCCCTTTACCATGATGACTACCAGAGGAACCTTCAATGTGTATAGATGGTGATGGATATGGGGACACACAAGAACTAGCGAACTTAATTAATACCAGATGCCCTCAACTATGAATTCTTTAATTATTGGAGGCTTTCATATTCATATCAATACAAGGTGGGATATGATGCAGGCGAATGCCTTTATTTTGTTTCTTTATGATCTTCTCCTCAACTTAATGATAGATGCAGTGCATAGGGTCATCGTGTCAGTTTGAATGCTTTCATGACAACTGGTATAGCACTGAATCAAGCAAGGTGTGAATAAGTGTGCTTTGTTTATGTGTTTACTGCTTATTATGTCGTACAAGTTGCCACTTTTGAATCTGCCCTCTTTTAGGCACGTGTCTTTCCCACATATATGTTGGTAAATGTGTGCACTACATATTTTTCCTAGAGTCAATAGTTCAAGTACAGAGTATATGTGCAATGAAGTAATGCGGCGAGCACTATATGGTAGTGGAAAGTTTCTCTTGAATTTTGTACAACATTCAAATTATCATCCAGAAAATTTATATGTTGTTTCTCAATAGGTACATATGCAAATTTGTCTTTTTGTTGGTAGTTTGTTGCTTGTCGTAGCATCCCGAGCACATATGTGAGGCTATGGCAGTCCTTTTTCGTGTAATAAACTGATGATGAGAAGAATATGACAGGCCGACCAATTGTACACTGTGAACACAATCGTTGGTACATTTTGAAGTTTTCTTTCCAAAGTGGCATATTAATTATTTGGTCCTGCACACCCTAATTATTAGGATTGATATTTCATTTTTTGTTCACCTTTAGATAGACATTTTTTGCTTGGCCTGCTGTATTTTCTTGAAGTAAACACTTTATTAGCTCTTTTACAGTTAAAAATGCATGCTTGGAATATATAGCTGCTAATCTGATGCTCTAGTATTTAGTTTGCAGTGTGATGTTCCGTGATTCCGGATTGGGCGCACCTCGTTGTCGTGGAGAGCATGAGTGGCTGGGTCTTCATGGTGGGGTGGTCTGCAGGGGAGGGAAGGTTGCTGATGACAGGGGGAAGGAGGAGGCCGACGAGGAGGGTAAACAACAGGGTTAAGGGGCACAGCGAGCCCAGCAGGGGGGAAAAGCAGGGCGAGCGACGCCAGTGGGAGGAAGGAGCAGGGCGAGGCCTCGCGCATCTGCATGGTCAGTGGAGATGAGGTTCTTTTGGATTAATGCTTCTGCCTGATGAGTTCCTCCCCTTTTATGTCGCAGGCTGTAAGATCTCTGCATGTTGCTGCTTGCTTGTTCTGCCAGTGGTTTTGCTCACTTCCTTTTCTATTTAGCTACTGCATTCTTTTCTTTACTATGTGTTGTCATGGATATTAGTTTAGATTGTGTTTATATTCAGGATTTGGCACAGAGTTTTGTTCTATTTTGGCTCATGCTTGCCGCTTGTGTGATTGAACATATGGTGTTTTGTCTACTTAACCATTTGTGTGTAGTAGTATTCATTTTATCCTTGATCATGTGTGTATGTACTACTGAAGTAGTTTTAATTGATATAAAGGTTTTCATGTATTGCAGCTATTTGACTTCGAGCAACCACAATCTACAAGGAACATTAGGAGTAAATTATAATTTGCCATCTCGAAAGCGTTTTGTATGCAGAATTGGTTAGCATTATCTCTAGATACACCGTTTACTATTAAGTAGATAATTTACATGTTGTCGTGGACTAAAGGTGGTGATGTATACTTATATGCCCATTCACAACTACTATTATTTAACATGTTTCCCTTTGGGCATCTACAATGCTAGGAGCTTACATAGGCGCTTATGAAGAAAATAATAAAATCTGAAGAACACCTAAGCGCCTCATCCCTCAATGCTAGACGCTAATTAACTAAACAACGTAGATGCTAAGTGCTGGAAGAAAAATGGCCAAGCGCCGGGTGCGCGATTTGGCGTCGACGCCAGGGTTGACACCAGGATTACAGCCGGCAACCGCTAATCCGCTGGGATTACGAACCTGGCGTCGGGGCTAAGCGCCCAGCGATGGAGATGCCCTTATATCATTGTGAAGTTGAAATCTTTTTTTTCCTGGTCTTCTAGGTTCACATAGTCCTCAAGGGTATCCTTCTATGTTGAGATTCTAAAAATATTTTGAGTTATTTCATTTTGACTACTTCATGCTTGAACTTGGAATTGTTGGCTAAGCAGTCCTTGAAATTTGAAGGGAGCGTGTGTAAGTCTGTAGTAATTGGCAGTGCAAACATGATCAGCCTATTGATGATGTAGTACTTAATATGATGATTATCTGGTTTACTTGTTGTATTTTATTGCGCATAGTAGACCACCACGCATCACCAACCAGGTAAAAATGTTACATCAGGGGGCTTTCATGAGCTAATTGCACAATTCTTTAAGCTATGCTCTGAACGTTAGTGGCCTTATTTAAGCTTTGTAGGTTGCAGTGTAATGTGAAGATTCCAAGGGATATCAAGCTTTAAATTGGGATCATTTGCAAAGCGGAAATATAGAGATCGACATCTGATGGTAAATAAATTTCTCGGACTGTTTCTGTTCATATGATAAGTGGGTCACGTTTCTTCCGTGTAATGCTAGGATAAAGTTTGATTTTCTCTATACTATTCCAACTTGGTCCTATCTCTAACTACAAAAACTTTATGTACCATTTTAATTCAAGTTTGATTACTATTAGATTTTGGTAATGTGCATTGAATTAATATGAAAACGGGGCAGATACTGCCATGGCGTATATCCTATTGAGTTTTCAGGGGTCTTTAATGCTCAATATTGATCTCTTTTGTTCAGGGAAGGAACATGTCGAATATAACAGCCAAACAAGGAAGGGACATGAGGCTGTAATATCATTTTCGTTCTCATTTCTTGTAGGAAGTCACAAATAGGAGCGATGGTGGAAATATAACTGCCACTTTGTACCTTTATATTTTTCTGAAAGAACTTTGAGCTACCGTTAGTTTCTTTTCCTGGTTCGTAATCGGTATATACAGTTACCACACAATCATGATCACCAATGTTCACAACTGTCTGAATCGTGTGATTCAAAGCAGAACCCATATGATTGCCACCCATGCATGTAATGTGTTATCTGCAGTATATCTCAATTTTGAATGTGACATGTCCTGTATGTATGTTAACTTCAGATTTTTGTCAACCTCTTTGTTATCTAAGTTTCCATTATTTTTTTGCTTGCTTCGATCTTTCAAATTTTGTGATTGTTAGCAATATCGACTTTGTTATCTTCACCAAGTGTACAGTTGCATAGTAAGGCAGAAACTTGAATTTTTCTTATCGTAGGTGTACATTCTAACTATGGCAGTGACCTCTTTTATTTGTCTATGTAACAATCATATGCATAAATAGTTAAAAATGGTATCCGAATGTTGCATTTTTTAGCTGATTCTTACCATGCACCTAAATGATTTCTAAAACTTAAAAGATGTTAATGAAACCCCAACTATTTCAAAACACTCGGGGTTTGAATTTGGACCCTGCGCCATTTGGCTCTATGTTACCCGAATAAGATAAAAAATATGCATGCTTAAGCATATATTTTTAAAGATAAATTATCCTTCTTTTTTCATCTTAAAGGGTTTGAATTAGTACCCCAAATGGTTGCTAAAACCTACTTCTACTAACGAAGTCAAATATTTTTAAAACACTTCGGGTTTGACACGCTTGCCCAAACATAGAGTTATTGAAAAATGTAAATATTTTGAATCGCGCACATCATTTCAAATGGGTCTATTCGTACGTGCTTGCTCATGCATATATTTTGTTTTAAATAGAACTCTATAATATTAAGTTTTATGTGTATATTCACATCGTTGTACACAACAATCCATCGTGTTTTCTATTAGAGGGGATTAAGCCATGATTTTTTTTCCATTGCGGGCATGGCTTTAGCGTGCCTCTGCGCCATTTTGGCGCAACGGGTCCCGTAATCATAATAAGAGAGGGGTATGCTTCTTTCTCTCTGGGCAAATGTTACTTTAGACAACATGTAGAGAAATAAAAACTCTAAAAATGTGTTCGAATCGCACAAAAAATGTTCGTAGTTCTTATTCATACTTTAAACACGTGAGGCTGTGCAAATTAAATCATGTCTTTTTTTCAAGGCGCATGCATTTAGCAGACCAGAACTAAACCGACTGTATATACATGGTCTGTCCTTAGTAAAGGAAGCTATTTTCATAGCGAACATGGTTTTAGTTAAAGGTTCTTGCAGCATGAAACTATTTTCATCGACAACATGTCTTTAGCAGGTCTCTGCGCCATTTGGCGCAACGAGTCAGCTAGTATAGTTTATGCCCGAGTGATGGGCATGCAAGTACGAATGTCTGGTGATTAGGCCCACAATTAATCCATCGCTTAAAAGTCACAGGGTGGTCCATCAACCGGGCTCGTAGACAAGGCCCACAAGGATCATGAAGCAGAGCAGCAGGATTTCTTTTACTCAAAAAAGAAAAGCAGCAGGATTTCTCAAATCAAAATAAAAAAATTGGAAATTTGGCTCAAAGCGAAAACCAATCAATCGATTGGTCGGGGAAGGGAAGGAAAAGGGGAAAGGCGAGGGAAGTAGAGAAGAGAAAGCAAACCCGCCCCCCAAAGGCGAAGACGGGGAGCAGAAAACTTCACCCCGACGGAGGCCATCCGGTTCGCCGCCGGCCCGCTCCTCCTCCTCCTCGCCGGCGTTTCCAAGGTACGCCCCCCACCCCCGATCCCCCCGCCACGCCCCGCGCGAATCCGCGCGATTGCTATTTCGCCCGGTCAAATTCGGCGGCAGATCCATCTGCGCCCGAAACCAGAATGTTTTCTCCGAGTGACGGGCGCAATCTGCTCCCCCGAATTTCAGAGGTCCCATGGAGGAGGACGGCCCTAGCCGGAGCGGCCTGCCGCCGGTCGGGGAGTGCGAATGGAGGGAGGAGCTGAGGCAGCAGCAGTCCCAGGTCGAGGCGCTGCGCGACAGGCTCGTGGAGGTCAAGGTCGGGATGCGGCGCTCCGAGGACGATTCCGGCCGGGAGCTCGAGCACCTGTGCCGCAGGGTCAAGACCATCGCCACCCTGCTGGCCTACCTCAAATCCAAGGCCAGGATCATGGCGATACCGCACCTCGCGCACACGTCCTGCGGGATCAGGAACCAGGACGGCGTGGGGTTCGTCGACCGGCACGGGGTGCCCCTGGCCGATTGGTCCAAGGCCGCTGAGCCCGCCTCCTGTGGGGGAGGTTCGGATGACAGGGCGTCGGCAGAGGGTAGCGGCGTTCACAAAAATTGTGATGCCGTTGAGGGGGATGGAGATGTAGATGATATTCTTAAGTCCATCCGTGTGGTGACAGACGTCATGGAGTCTCTTGTGAAGAGAGTGATTGTGGCTGAGTCTGAAACTGCTAATGAGAAGGAAAAGGTGAGGATTGGCTTGGAAGAGATCAGGAGGAAGACCATACAGGTCGAGTCCATGTCGGTCAAAGTCGAGGAGATGGAGAAATTTGCGGTCGGTACGAATGGTATGCTGAATGAGATGAGGCAGCGGGTTGAAGATATGGTGCTGGAGACCACTCGGCAGAGGCAGCGCGCTGCTGAAAATGAGCAGGAGCTCAGTCGTGTGAAGAACGACTTTGAGTCGCTCAGAACTTATGTGAGCACACTCGTTAGTGTCAGAGAAACTCTTCTTTCATCGGAGAAGCAATTCGAGACAATGGAGAAGCTTTTTGACAGGTACTTTTGCAAGTCTTGTGTTGTTTCTTGTAATTATATTCTGTCTGAATGTATCACCATGTGTTAATTTCCATGGCAAAACTTGTATAGCTTGGTACAGAAAACTTAAAAAAAATGGCGGAGAAGGAAGAGTAGAAATAGTTAATTTCAACCTCCCAATTTTTAAGAAAGCAGCAACATGAACCAATCATTTCATAAATTCTGGCAGGCCCATGTATTAATATGCTTCTACCACCACCACCACCAACAACAACAACAACAACAGCAAAAACAACAAAGCCTTTCAGTCCCAAACAAGTTGGGGTAGGCTAGGGTTGAAACCCATAAGATCTTGAAACAAAAGTGTAGGGGCTGGACTCGAACCCAGCACCTCCCATTACTTTCATCTCCCTCCTACCAATGGAGTATGAAATGATTTCTTTGATATGCTTCTACCGTTGCATAATTTTACTTTGATGCCAGTGGCTGAGTCAGAACTTTTGTGAAGCCTGGGCAAGCTTGAGCCTAAGTGTCTATGTGAAAACTAAAATCTGGTGTTCGGATACACAACATATAAAATAGCCCCAAACTTTGGAACCACAAATCATCATTAATAATGAAGTGAAAGTATAAACATAGTAGTCATGCAATTTTAATTTTAAAGTGAACTAATATATGATATATCAATATTCAGTTTTATGGACCAAAATAAAGTTGAGACTTGACAACATAATTCATAGAACCAGGCATCCATAGAACCAAACCTGCCATGTTGCCAGTAAAAGTATAGCTGTTCAAATTAGCATCCAAACATTCTAGAAGACACTACAAGATAAAAAATTGGATTCTAATTCACATAAATTAAGTGCTGTGATTTGAGAACATATTCAAAATAGAGAGCTTGCAAGAATAGAGACAGTCAGATAGAACATACCACTAGTGTGCTATAGAAAATCTCAGAGCTTGCAAGTGCCGTCATGCCGAACAGGGCTGTGACTGCTCGTGTTCCTCTCGAATACTCCCTCCGTTCCAAATTACTCGTCGTGGTTTTAGTTCAAATTTGAACTAAAACCACGACGAGTAATTTGGAATGGAGGGAGTAGTTGTTTTGGAAGAAGGGAGTTAGCAGCCCATGACTGCTGAACTACGCCTTGTCAGGGGACTGCGCTTAGTAGGCCTAGTTAATTAACCAATTAGTCAAATATCAGCCGATGCTTGGTAGGAGCCCATTATTTATCACATACGTACATTGACTGCTGCCCGTATAAACCACGACACGCAGTAGAATTTGCCCCGTTGTTTATCACATATGTACGCTGTCCTGTGGCCAGCGAGCCCGGGCGCTGGCTCCGGTCCTGTTTTATGCATTATTGACTGTGAAGCCATGGTAGACTTGTAATTACCATGATCACCATCTTAACCATATATTCAATCAACTATGCATTGAACTAGTTTGTAACATGGTCAGCTCTATAAACTCATTGGCACATCTTAACAATATATTTAATCAGCTATGCATTGAACTAGTTTATAAGCCAAAAAAGCATGTATCTTCGAGATGCAAAACAAAATTAGTCTTTGTGCAGGTATGTGATGCTAACGCTGTTTTAGTACTATATGTTTGATCTTCTGTTAGCAAT